AGGAAGCCTGTAACTCTGAATTGCTACACATGGCAGAATATATGAATATATGAACATCTGGATCAGATGTTCAAAGCTGTTTAAGGGCAGGAGGTCAATTTAATAGAAACTGTTATGAGAAAGTGGAGGGATTTCATGAAGTCAGAAATCTCTGTATACATCCTTGCGTTAAACAGAACCTGCATTTAGAACTAGATAATCAGTTTTTCTAAGCTTCTCTTGTTGATACTTACAAGCAATTCTTTCAGGAAGTAACTTCATTTGGACTTTTCATTAGCTCAGCTGTTTCTCTCCATTAAGAAAGGTAAATACAGAAATATCCCAAATACCTTATTAAAACAATCCACACGATCATCTTTAGTTCACTCTTTTATAAATATTCATAAATATAATAAATAAATAAATGCTAAGCATCACAGGATAGAAAATTCTTAAATCAGGAATGACGTTACGGTCCTACCCAAGGGCAAGAAATCCTTTGAATGATTGCTGCTCAATATTCCTATCCCTGAAGTAAACAGATCTTAAAATTCAATCATGGGATAAAGGTAAATGGTCCAGGCTACTAAGAGGACAGAAAACTCTTATTTCTGAGTTAGAAGATCATGCATAATGGAGCAGCAAATTTTGTAAATCCGATAGAGTCATTCCAAATAAAGCAGGTGTTTGTCAAATTTTCTTCATAAATACTCTTTCTTTATATAATATATGAATCAGATGCCTGGTCTGTTAAAAATATGACGAACTTTGTTCAATAGCCTAGTCTCCATAAAGAAAATTGGACTAATTATATATATGTGTATTAAGAATTTCCCTTAAATCAATCAAAAATAAGAAATATTTTTTATTTTGTATGGGGTTTGTTTTGTATTCTATCTTCCAACATGAGTCACCGAGAGATGTTTTTGATTCGGGTGCATACAAATATATTTAATAATTAAAAGCTTTCTAGCTACTTTCTTCCATCTGCCTAAACAATTTGTTGGGAGTACATTTTTACAGGTTTCTTTACTTCCTATGGATGCACCTGATTGGTAGATTCCCTTTCCTCTGCTCATCATCTTCCATGCACAACAAAGGGTTTTGAAAAAGCGTTCTCCAATTCTGTTTCCCTTAGAATTTTGGGTTTACCAATTTCACACGCTCACCCATCATGGTCAGTGGTTTGAAATTAGGGAAGCTTTCAACCAAGACACCTGGAAAGTCACAGACTGAAAAACCCTGGTAGTAAAATATGGATCTTTTGCCTATGAACTCCCCCCCCCCCCCACTTCACACTCCTTTTTCTTTGTTTCTGTTATGGAAATAAGCTGTAAGATTATCTGGAACAAGCTAGGAAAAAAGTAACTCATTTTTATTCATATTAATTTGCAGCTCTAAATTTGTCTATGTGTTTCAATAGCCAAACCTCTGTCTTAAATGTGCGGGTAACACTTTCTGGCAACATACTTTACTCAGGAGGAAAGAAGTTCTGCTGTACTAATGCACAGAAAAGGCACCCATATATTCCTTTTACAATATAAAAATTAAAACTCCCATGGAGATCAGCAAGCTTGCTTTTGTGGCTTGAATTATGGCAGGCAATAGTAGCCTAGGGATTTGCTAAGTGTTGGCTGGGCTCCTGAAGCTCAGTTCCCCAATATTTCACTCTCATGGGCATCTCATACATTTCATCCACCAATAATACCAACTACCCAGAGAACCTGATGCAGAATGCTGGACTGGTATAAGAGTTCTTTGCATTTACGAAAGATGAATTATTCAGTACTTAATGAGAAAGTAATGCATGTCAACAGAAGAAGTGATTTGTTAACATTCAATGGGTGTTCTAATGAATGTAGGAAGGTTGAGGAGATGCCTGTTATCTCCATAAGTCAGTGGTGCTAATTCAATTTTTTTTACTACCTGTTCTATGGACATGGCTTGGTGGGCATGCCTTGGTGGGCGTGGCAGGGGAAGATACTGTAAAATCCCCATTCCCTCCCCACCCCACTACCCTGCTTTCCAGCTCCGTTCTCCTGTGCAGGGCAACAAAAGAAGACCCAGCCAATCAGCTGGGACTCAGGAGGCAGTCACGGGGCGGGGCCAGTCAGAGTTGGGATTTACCGGTTCTCTGAACTACTCAAAATTTCCGCTAGAGGTTCTCCAGAACCTGTCAGAACTGACAACCACTTCTGCCATAAGTGTTCAATGCCCTATGCATCCATTGGGAAACGGGTTTTAAAAAGTCAATTTAGTGGTCCCACCTATACGACCAAAGCCTCATCCATTCTGTATATGTATCATCATCATCACACACACATGGCTCGAGATCAACCATTTAAAGGTCGTAACTGTAGACTTTTTGACACCCTCGACCCTGGTCCACCCACAGATGCCACTGCTTGTTGCCCATCTATCATCCATGGATGTTCCAGCAATGCTGTGCTTTGCAGCCAGAGGCACAAAGATGTTCCAGAGATTCTGACATATTTGCAACTCTTTCAAGAATCCTTTGATTGTGTAGCTGCCCTCTGAATTCCTGCATGCTCTGAAGTAGTTATTGGACTTTAAATCCAAAGAACTGTACAGCTCTAAGAGATACTGAACAGCTAAGAAAGAACTCATGTCCACTGCACAACGGATAGTTTCTAACACTTTTCCTTTTCTTCATTTTAATATTTCAGCTGAACTTGGACACAGTCTCCTGGGTTCATTTCTTGGCCATAAGTCAAAAGCCTAGAACTGCTGCAGTCTGAAATCGGGAAAAGAACCTTCTCTCTTTCTCAAACATATTTATAATGTCACCAGATTAAATGTGTGATTTTTGAACGTGTTATAACTAGAAGAAAGACCGATTACCAACTATCCACCTGCTCCGTGCTTAGCAGAGGGTAACAAGGGTAAAACTCTATGAAAGAATATAGAAAGCTATTTATCCAGAGATCGTATCTTTGAGAAGACGCGGTTCCTAACCCGGCACATTATCTGAAGTTAATTGTCTTTAGATTCTTAATCTGAAGTTCATTTCTTTCAGAAGAAATATTTTTGCAGCAAAAATGTATTCTTAGTTAACATTTCTCCAAATGCTTCTAAGTGCAGAAGAGAGCAGAGGATATTTGGGCTGGGGGATATAGGCATAGAATAAAAAAAAAACACCTTGGGTTCATTTTCTTTTTTAGCCTTGTGGATTTATTAAAATCAGTCACATATAATGACATGCCATGACTTCTCTGTTATTAATTCAAATTGCAAACCCACTTTTCCCCAGCCAGATGCCCCCAAGATTTTTTTTTTTTTTTTATGTATTCATTTATTTATGAAATGCATTGGCCACACATCTTACCTCAAGGTAATTCTGGGTGGCTTACACTCATTTTTTTTTTAAAAAAAGTAGACTGGAACTACAATTGCCAGAATTCCCAACCAGAAGGGGTCAAAACAGGTCTCCCTGGGAATTCTGTGACCTTTAACCCCAACAACCTGGAAGCTTTGAGAACACTAATGTAAACAATGAAGCTAGTAAACAGACAAGTATGACATGGCATGATAGGACATCTAAAGTTCTAGTTTTTTATGTGCCCAAACAGCCCCCAACCACAGCTTCAAACCAGGATATATTCTTGATACATTAATAGTAGCATTGCCAGCCATAATAAATCACAATCTCATGTTTGGGCATCATGCAAAGTTTTGTCTGCCTGGTTTCCTCATCTGATGGTACAAAGGATGAGTGGAAATAATCCCCGTGCTCATACATGTTCTAATATAAATACTCTTTTTAGCTTATTGTTAAATGTGAATTTGGCCATTATTTCATTAAGACATTTGGTCTGTACTGGATGACTGATGCCATTTACTCATAAAGTATGTAATTTGTTTACCCTGCAATGAGTAAAAAGCATTAATCAAAAGGTGCTTTAAAAAAGTGTGTACTGGGTCCTTTTCATTCATTCAGTAACGGGTTATGGGGTAGCAGGACAGGGAAAAAACGTGCTTCAAGAAGACTAGGAAAGTTGTGAATCAATGGGTGAAAGAAACCTCAGGCTTCAAAATCAGGAAAATCTGAAGGAGGCAAGATCATACATGGCCTAAGCACGCAGTAATGAAATGATGGTTTTGTTACCAGACCAAAAGTCCCAGCATCTCTCTTTTGGCCACTCTATATGGGCCAACAGCATGTCAGAGGTGCCAATTCTCTACCCCAAGAAAGGTCCATAACCTGTCTTTGGAATGAGCATGTGGAGGTCAGATACAGGACCAAAAAACAATAAGCATTCAATGGAAGGGTGAGCCAATTGAAACATACCTGACCAACTAATGTAAGAAAAGAGAATTGTATAGGACTGAAAATTGGTAAGGTTTTGTGCACAGGACTGGTGTACAGTTCAGACCGTGGACCACACTATATGCTTTGCGCACACAAATAGTAAGGGACAATCCTGAAGGATTACACAAAAGGCACAAAAGAGGATGGGAAAAAGATTCTAGGGGAATCTTTTGCCAGTTTAGACTTCCACCTCAATTTGGTCTAACCTGCACAAAAATGTGTTGTGTATGGAGGGTGGGGGAACTTGCCTTCAATTCTTGGCAATCCCAATTCAACAGAGCCATAAGAGGGAAGGGGGAAAAAAAAAACTCTTAGGAGAGAGTTGGGTTTACTCTTCCACATTTCCCAACCCACACGGCCCTTGATGGCTGGGAATTCTGGGGTGGCCAAGCAGGCAAAGGCTATCCCGAAGCTAGCCAGCCGCTCCGGGCGTGCTTGGCTGGAGGAACTGTTGAAGGCGGCTTCCCTCAGAAGGCGCGCTTTACGAATGTTTTTGGGACAGCTGGACGCCCGGAGGCGGGATGGCTCCAGGGGAAAAGAAGGACCGGGGAGATGTAAAAAGCCAAAAGATGGCTGTAGATGTAAAAAGCCAAAAGGCTCTTGAGTTGGGGGGGGCGGGCGGCCCTCAAAAGCCTTTTGGCTTTTTACATCTACAGCACAGCCTCGCTCCGCGCTCTCACCTGCTGACGCTGGCTGTGGTTGCCCGGCGGCGCTCCGGGATCGCTGCCTCGCAGCACCGTGATGTGCAAGGTAAGCAGGAGGAGCCCCAGCAGGAGCAGCAGCTCGGCCGCTAGACGCATCATCCTCCTGCAGAGGACGGCTTTAGGGCTCCGCGGCGGCGGCGGCGGCGGCGGCGGCGGCAACTGAGCAGCAGGAGGAGGAGAAGGAGAAGGAATAAGAGCCGCTGCCGCCGCCGCCGCCTGCCCGGCCGCTAAGGAGTCGAGAGCTGGAGTTCCCGCGCCAGCAGCGCCGCTCTCGGGGTCGTTCGGGCCAGCAGGAGAGGAAGCGTCGTCGCAGGCAGCGCCGCCGCCACCGCGCCGCCGCCACCACCACGGCGGAGCCACTTCGGGATGGGAGGAGGTTTCCGAGGCGGCGGAGAAGGACGACTGAGGACGCTCGGGCGACGGCGACGGGGCGGGCTGCAGGGGTCGCTGCTGCTGCGCTCGCAGCCCTGCGCTCGCATGGGGTCTTTGCCTGCCTTGCCAAAAAAAAAAAAAAAAAAAGCGGCGCTGCCGGGGATTTCTCTCCCGCGCCTCCGAGCGCGCCCCGCGCGCCCCAAGAGACGTGGCCGGCCGGCCCTCGGGTTAGAAGCGGAGGGGGAGGAGGGGGGCGGGGGAGACGTGCTGGGCTGGCGGCTCGGGAGAAATCGGGGCGCTGGTGTTGTAGATGCCCGGCCTGTCTGCAAAGGCACCGTGAAAGGGGTCGGCCGCCGTCCGCCCCTGCTGGCGCCGAGCGGGAGAGCCCCGCTTGGAGGAGTCGGTCCCCCTCCTGCGAAGTCTGTCGCCTCTGGCTCTCGCTGTCCGCGCCAGGAGGGCTGTTTTCTGCTCTCCACCTCCGGGGTGAATTCGCCCCGACGTCTCTCAGGAGAACCAGACCCGCCACCCGGGTCCTTCAGAGAGTCAACCCCCCCCCCTGTCTCCCCCCCCCAGCAGCCTTCGGGAGCCTTCGCGCTGCCCTTAACTCGGGTGCGCTTTCAACCGCGGGGCGCTTTTCTCCTCAGCCCATGAAGCCCTGACGAGCGGCTGGCTGTCAGTACGGGCTCGGCTCGTGTGTGTCAGTCGGGAGCCCCGCGCGAAGTTTTCCCGCCTTGCCTCGGCTCCGTTTGAGGGCGAGTCCCGAGCCTCTTTTTATTTTCTCCCGGACCAACTTTCACCCCCTCGGGTCTCCCCGGCCTTCCCTTTCCTGCTTCTTCTTACGGCCGCGGCCGGTCCGAGGCTAATTCCCAGGCAGAGAGGCTGCGGCTCCTCTCGGCTTCTTAGTCTCCCGCGGGTGTGTGATCCGCCGCCGAGAGGGAAATCCAGTCTGAAGGGACGGTCGAAGTCTTTGGCTGGGAGCCTGGCGGGGGGACACTCGAGCCCAGCCAGCCAGTTGGGATGGCGAAGAGAGGGAGCAGCGCTGGTGCCCGCGCTTAAAGGCGGGCTCCCCTTCTCCGTCCAGCCTGGCTTTCTCCTTGCGTGTGTCTCATGCTTTTATACGAGGCTCTTTTCCTTCTCTGCTGAGCTGTTGTCCCCCCTTCTCCCTCCCCCCCTTTTAAAGTTTTCTTTCTTCTGATCTCATCACAGCCGCTCTTTTCTCCCCTCCCCTCGCGTTTTATTCCCTGTGGCTAACTTCTTGTTTGCCCCTCGCTGCCAACCTGGAGAGTTACAAGCCAGGACATCAGCAGGAACCATGTTCCTAGTTCCCTTGCATTTTTAATATAGTCACTTGTGGCCCCTCTTGAATGGAACCAATGCTCCCCATTAGACACTCAACAGTTTTTTTCCTCCTTAAGGGAAGGAAATTATTCCCACTTCAAAAGAAAAGACAATTTCTTCCCCAGGTTCATTCTTTAGTTGACTTTTCCATCCACTTTGCTGTTGAAGACAGGCTCTTAATCCAATATTGTTTCCATCCAGTATATGGATGGTATTAATCAGTAGCAAGTCCATTACAGGTTTCTTTTCAAATATGAATCAGGAGGTACACAATGTATGTAGGTTCTGTGAAAGAACCAGAGGTCCGTAATTTGCCTATAGATTTCTTATTACCATCTGAATGGCTGCGGTGGAAACAGAAGGATTGAACTAAATAGGCCTTTCATCTGATTTAGCTCTTTATATTTTCTGTTCATTTCATAGTACAAGATTTTTGGGAATGGGCAGGTTACAAAGATGGTAACGTTACTTTACCAAATAAAACTGGTACTTGGATTGATTCTCCAGATCTTCTCCTACACCTTTAAGACCCTAGATCAGGGGTGGCCAACTATGGCCCCCTTTTTAACCTGTGGACTTCAACTCCCAGAATTCCCAAGCTCACCATGCTGACTCAAGAATTCTGGGAGTTGAAATCCACAGGTTGTAAACGGGCCATAGTTGCCCATTCCTACACTAGATACCAAACAGTATTTTGGGGGCCTGAATCTAGAGCCCTCCTAATATCCAACATTCAGCAATCTTAGGTGTAATAGGTAGGGTTGTGCTAATTGCCTGTCTGTTATTTTCATTTATGTAAAAATGAAGGAGTCCAATAATGTTTACAATATTGCCTAGCTTATCTTCCTGCAGAGTTCCTCATGCATTTTTCCCTGCTGGGAAATAGGGGCAGCCTACCTATCTGAAAACAAACACCATTTAAATCAGCAGACTTTAATTCCGAGAAATTATGAACAAGATTCCTAGCCCAGCAGTAAAATACAATGTGCCATGCTGTTTAAAATCTATTAACTATGTTGATCACAGCATATATGAATGCTTTTTAGAGCTTTGATACGGATAATTTTTTTTTAAATATATTTCATGGCTAATATGTAATGTAACACCACAGATGTATATTTGTGAACTAGCAGTAGTGAACCTTGTTGACAGTGAACTACAGTCAAGCAGAACTGGGTACATTTTATAACTGAATCAGATGAAATCTTTCCATGCTCCCTGGAATGTTACAAGATATTCCTTCTGTTTTTGTTTCTGGGAAATCAGTCAACCCTCAGTTTTTCCAAGAAATATTTGTGCAAAAAGTCAGGCTTATATTCTGAGTGCGTTTGTGAGCTATCCAGATTTATGGTTGTCAAACTTGGTACTTAATTTTTAACATAAACTATTTTAAAGCCACTTTTAAGGACAGCAAGCAATAGTTAAAATGTCAGGGACAACTGAAAAAAACAACGGCATTGCAATTAAAAGTCATATCCCATTAAAGGAACAATGATCCAGATTTAAGAGGTGAAATTCAATGTAGGCAAGTACTTATAGTTCACATACACTCCAGAGAATTCCCAATTTGTCAGCGACATTTCTTCTAGTAGAAGAAAGTAGAAGGTAGTAGAAAGATCCCTACTGGATATAAGTCTTAAGGAGAAGCAATCTACTCATTCCAGAAATGATGACAAGAATTTCAGTAATGGGCAATTCCTTAAAGAAAATCTGTTGGCAATTCTGGCTGAGGCTCATGGGGGTTGTAATCCAAAACATATGTAAGGTACTGGATGTTGTATGTGCCTTACAGATAAGAACAATTATGTAATAAATCGAGCTGTGATTATCCTTGTCATAAAGCACCAACCAATTTTGTGAAGGAGCACAATAACTAATGCAATCTCCTTTGAATCCAGCTGATCTCCTAGGGATGAAGTTTTCTTGGCTCAGGGTTTGGACTTGCCCTAGGAAGAGGGTTGAGACCTTCCTTACCCTCAAGAGTTTTTAGGATGACTTTGCACCAGTCACTCTCTCTCTCTCAGCCCAATATACCTTACAAGGTTGTTGACATGCATCTATCAAAACAACTAACAACAGCATAGAATATTTGGCATTGCCATTTTGCTTCGCTACCTAATCAAGATGGCCCTCATTATTTCCCACTCAAGTACTGATCAAACAGTATCCTTTATCCTTGAAATACTCATATCAACAAAGCATCCAGACATTTGATTTAAGATGCTTTCTTCCTCTCCATAAGGCCAGAAAAAAAATGTCACACCATCCCTTTCTCCATTGGCCTTCTGACTCCATTACCTACTCAATTGCCTTTTTCACTCTATTGCTTGCCTCATCTCTCCCAGGATCTCACCTCCTGCTCACCTGTCTCACACACTCCGTGGTCTTTCTGTCTTATTTTTCTTTTTCTCTTTTGCTGAACTGCATCCCTTTTTGATCTTTTGCTTTTTGTCAGGGATGCTGGGAGACCCTGATGGGCAAATTCTCCTACTCTACTCTGCAAGTTGCTTGATCGGGCAGCTTCATCTACCTGGGTTAATAAGAAGCCCATGAAATATCATGCCAGCATTTTGTATCCAGTTTCTGGTGTTCCTGTTGCTAAGCTGAAATGGTCATGGAGGGAATTCACCAGGGACTGGAGAGGAAGGGGTGTGCTCTGAAGCTAAAAGGAGCTTGGTAGACCCCAATCCTGCCATCTCCATGACAAAACAGGACATATGTGTTTACAGCAAGACTTGTGCTGGGAAAAGAAACACCCTTTAAATCAGGTCTGTTACATATGCATAGGTGGCTCCAGCTATGATTTATGGATGAGACCAAAAATGTGCAATAGTGGTACATCTTTAAAACAAAGTAAGGCCCCACTGAAGCCCACGTAGTTGATCCCCAAGAAGAAAATCTTGGTGAATCCCTTCTCTGGAACCTGCAGGTTTGATATATGATATCTGGGTGGAAGTACATGTGAAATTTTGGAGAAATGTTGGGTATGTTATGATTTATTTAAGGGCTATAAATTGATGGCTAGGATGATGGAAATATCATAATATATACCAGATTAAGGGACAGTGTGGTGAAAATAATTTCTTGTACATAAGATCTGCAGCTGGTTTCTGGGTAATGTAAATTCACTAGATCCTATTAATTAAAAAAAAACATATTTAATCCATCTAAGTCAAGCTTGTATTTGGCATGCGTTTCTGGATACACTTTTATGTGTCAAGATGTTGTGCAATGCTAGTAAAGGGCTGTAAAACACTAATATCGGCAGTCAGAGAGTACATTCTCTTATTATAGGAAGAATGTCTGAGCTGACATCGCTTTACAAAAAAGCTTGTC